CATTTTTCAATTCAGCAAATGAATAGCAGCTCCATGGGGGAGGAGAGACAGGGTGGGGGAGAGATGGGAAAGGAAATAGCCATAAATGATCTTCCAAGACAGGAAAACTAGTTGCAGTAAATACCACTTTGGAAATCAATTTATGGTCAATTATGATCTTAGTAATAACTATTTTATGCCTTTATTCAGTGCATGAAATGCCCAGGGGAGCAAATATTCTCAGAAATACATCCAATATGTCTCCAAATATGGTATCTGATCAGTAGATGCAGACAGAATTCCARAAAGAGCAGCTCCTGCTTGTCTGGATGCTGACAGGGATTGGGGATGGGGGGAGGATGGAAGCACAACTTCAGTGCAGTTGGACTATCAGTGTTGCARTATCACCCAGATAAAACAGATTATATCTATCGGTCTGGGTTGTTGGCTTTGAAAGCAACGAATTTTGTCATCACTGCAGTATTTCACCTAGAAATTTGTGAAGCATATTTCATTCTCACAAATGTAAGAAAAAATTAAAGTTGAGGGTCTTTTTTTAAGCAAATCACTATGTAAACATCCATCTACTAAGCCAACTATTGCTTTATTCAATTATTGCATGCAAATGTGGTAGCAGAGTATAAAGACTCACATCTCTGGCTAATGTGCTGTTGGTGTAATGAGACTTGGACTATTCTTTCCTAAAGTGAGGAGTTGAGTTTAGTGAGATTGATTAGAAGAAYAGAAATAGTAAAAATTACACATTCACCAAGCTCCACTAAGTCCCAGATAATAAATCTTTCACCCAAAATAGTGCTATTTATACTGAGACTCTGCTCCTTAACAGGAGCAATTCTATTACTGTGAGAGCCCAAATTTAGCTCCACACCTGGACCAGACAGATATATTTYATTATGATCATACTAGAAAACATTAAATAGCATTTCGTTTGCTGCCACCAGGCTCTCCTCCTTCCTTATCAGAGGATATTGCATCTTCCATATTAATTAATTCTTGAAAGACTTAAGATAAACATATACTTCATTAYAGTTTACATCAGCAAAGAGAAACCAAATAGTTTCATAGGCAGGAAGATGTGAACAGCACACTTATGCCAACAGGTTATTTTTAACTAACAGCCATTTCTTCTGCATCACAAAACAGGAATGAGGTACAGTACTGGGCACTTASAGCATTCCAGCCATGACAACATTAAGGAGATAAGGATGATTAGATTTGCAGAGATGGAGCATCTTTTGTAAGAGAAAGAATTTCAAGCACAGCACCCATTTCAAAGCAAAAATTCAGGCAACACAAACACTGGAAGCAATTCTACATTAASTAAGTTTGTGCACTTGGTAAGTGCAATTAAAACCATTGAGGAAAGTTGAGACCTACAGATCAACCGAACGATGTTAGCAGAGGGATAATGAGGAATCCTGCTCCAGACTACCTKTAGTAATACAYTTGTGTAAAGAGACTTGCTTKATTTACACACACACACACRAACACACACTATTAGGTTATACCTGCAGTACTACTAAAGTTTTTACCTTCATATTTCATATYCAGTATCATCCCCAAGACTACTGCGAACACATATAGAGTTCCAGCAAAAACATTATAAACACCACCCATGACCACATTCTATGGTCTCTTAATGACCTTGKAAGAACACAGGAAAATGGCAGTCGACACATTATGCATCTGTACAGCTGATTTTTTTTTCTTGGCATTCTCCCTGAACTGCTCCTTTTTTCTAGAATGGTTTGTGTTAAAGCACTGGGCTGATGCTCTTTTGTTTACCAGTAACCAGCCACTGTTTAAAAACAAGGATCTCCATTGTCAGCACCAATGAATGACGTGAGCATCAGCCATGAAAACACTTYGGAATTCTGAAGAACTAAAAGACCTGAGAGTCGGAGGCTAGARCAGGACTGAAATCAGACTGACACAACACAGATATCTGGCTGAGCTTAAAATAGACTTGGCAGAAGTCAGCCTGGACTAACAATCGATTTGTGGATGCACTGACCACCCAGAATGTATCCAAGCCACGCAAGAGCTCCCTCTCCCTCCACCAAAACAAAAAGCTGTCCCACTTCCCATTGGGAAGCCTTGGAAATGCAGGATAAGAGAGAAAACTGCAAACTTTGTGCATACAGAACACGGCAAGGAAAGAAAGAAATAGGAAGGAAAATAGCACATCGAAGAAAAATCAGGTAATGCCATTCTAAGAGATTCCTCTTGGCCAAGAAGGCAACAAAGGCAATACCCAGCATCCCTAAGGAAAGCCAGCATGGGAAAACATGTACGGACCCCACAGGCAAGAAACTGGGGGGAGAGAAGGGGAGGAAAGAATGGATCTGCCTCCAGAAAACACCCATGGGCAGCCACTAAACATAGCCCAGGCTGGTTGTTTTCCTTGCAGTGCAAGGGGGGTGGGTGTTATCTTTTCCTAAATGAGTCTATAGCTGGTAGCTGCATGATAACTATTTTGAGATATAGAAACATATTTTTCTCTAGGGCCTAATTACCACAAAGGATGCCAACTGATTTGACAAGTCAATTTTTCTCTCATATAAAAAAAAAAAAAACCCACTGAAAAACCTCATTGTCTAGCAATGCAGAGCTTAAAAAACAGCCCAAACATCCATGGGATAACTATTAGATATTTTCAATACAAAGAAATAAGCAATTGTTAACATTTCTCATAAYTGAGCTCCTAAAACACAGAAGTTCCTGACTGAAATCTAAGTAAATGTACATCTAGTTTGCAATTTTTTAAATGGCTGTACATTTCAAACCCCAGAAAAAGCAGGCTGCAGATAGCTGTTTATTACAAATGACTTCCACCTCCTCCACAGCCCTCAAAGGCAAACTATAAAGCTGTGTGCAAAGCCAGACAATCTGGGCACCCAGCCATAAACCATCACTGCTGCAGCACAGATAACTGTTCTTGCTCTCAGCCATCCTTGGCTGCAAACCCACGGGGAAGAGCTCCAGAAACCAGACCTGAGGACCRTCAGGGCTTCTAATATTTTATGAACTTGAATTACAACTACGTTCAAGACCTCAGTGCTGAAAAATTACAGTGCTGAATTCACACCCAGGGTTGTGACCAAAACTCACTCAGATTTGCCTGGTACCCTGAATATTGAGATGCAAGAACAGCCAGTGATTTTACAGCTGCCTTCAGTGACAGAAGCCTTTTTATTGGGAGGGAGAGAGAGACATGCTACTCTTCAAAAAAAAAGACAAAAGAATCAGATGCATATTTTAGAGTACTGCTGCATTTTCCACCATCTTTGATACGACCTCAAAGAGCACTGTGACTACTCTGTGCAAGAACAGGCAGTTTATGGCCAAATCCAGACATTTTTATCTTGGGTGGGTAATTTTAAAACGTAGTAGTGACAAGGTAGGAAGGTGCACAAATTAAGTTTCACAAAGCACAGTTGTAACTGTGTTTGGGAATCCACAAATTCAGTGAAGTTAAACCATATTAAGTAATGATAAAATAAGCATAAGCCCATCCACTTCTGGTATTCTACAACTTAGCCATGCTTTCAGTTGACAATTTTCCTAAATAGCACAGATTCCTAAAGCRAGATCAAATAATACTTTGATTCCTCTGCTTTCATACATTAAGAATAACCATCTTTCATTTTACCAACAGCATTTCCCAGTGAAGAGACGGTGCAGAGCTCATAGATCATTTAGTAATGCAATTTACTGTCACTTCTAGATCATCTCCCCATTCAATAAAGTATACTTCTCTTCTAAACACTATTTGCCCTGGCTGATATCTTCATAATACAGCTGAAAACCTCAAGCCATTATCACTAGAAGGCATCAGCTGATCCTAAATTGGCTAGACTGCAGCGTCACAGGCATTTAAGAGGTTTCCTTATCATTCATCTTTAATACTGAGGGATCGACACACTCCTACCTGCAGCTTCTAGGCCAAGGGTAAACCTTCTAATGGTATTACCATTATCTTGTAATCTGAATTTTAAACAATTAAAACAATAGCGCTTTTGTGTTGCAGGTCTCTACTGTAACCAAAGATGATACATTTTTCATCAGTTCTCATGTTTAAAGTCTTACATAAAGCACTGATTTTTGTAAAAAGCAGCAATATGCACTCTGCATTTATGATGCTGAACCTTYAAAGAGAAGCAGCACTGTAACAAGGCACTTAAATTTAAGTCATCAAGAGGGACCATTTGGTTTACTCGGGAAAGGTTTGGTCATTTTATTTTAAAGCTGCAGYTCTTGTAGTCAATATGATCTGGCAATTCTTTCCAAATGAAAGCCTCTTTTTACTGAAGCAGGGGATGGCTCCACCCCTGACCTCCTCCTTCAGCTTGTTTTGGAAAGGGGCCAGATGACAGCATTTGGAAAAGCGCATGTTTATCTCGGCGAGGCCAGCTGCTAAGTTAACATATTACCCGTTCCCACATCCCCCGCTCTTGGTTAAGTCTTCACAGCTAAAACTGAAAGCAAACGCTGCCATTTGGGCTTTTAATAAATGTAACACGAAAGAGAAAAGGAGTCTCCATCGCATGGAGCATCTGAACGGGCTGGAGAAGTGTAGGTCATTTTGAGTTAACAGMAGGCAGTAACTCTGTCAGTAAAATTCCTGGCCTTTCTGAATGAAGTGAATGAAAAACTGAAAAATAAGAGGTTTTATTTCTAGACTAATTTAAAGCTATGYTTTCTGTAAGATTTCACTCAGCAACAGTTTGCTCCAATACACAAGGAGATTATAAGGCCCTTCTTGACAAAACCTTTATCTTGTTTTATTGTTAGTCCATACTTGGCAAGGTATGGAACACAGGAGCTTTGAGWACTTCAACAAAGAATCTTCAGATTAAAAGTCTTATACTCAATTATGTTTTCCTCATGTTATGGAAATTTCATCCCATTATTTTCAAAGTCTTAAAAACCTCTWTCAAGCAAAAAGAGTATATAATTACCTTACTTCCCTTAAACATCAGTGGAAGATCTCAACTTACCAAAAGCACAGTCTGTTATCCTATTAGAAAAGACAAATCCTGGAAAAGAAACCAGAAATKAAGCTGGAGAGGTGGGGTTTTCATTGATCCCATCAAGGTCCAGCGGGCTTTGCAATGGGCAAACCCCATCCACTCACAGGTGACGCAAAACAGATACTGGAAGAACCCAGATGCCAGCTCTGAGGGTGAACTTTCAAGTCCCCAAAMGGTTTTCAGCCCAAGGGCAGTGTCCCAGAGCAAACTCCACTCTGCTGCGGCCAGCAGGGAAATGGCACAGCCCAAGGCTGCCCRCAAGGACATTCCCAGGCACTGGGACTGAAGCCCTGCACCACTGACAGCTCCAAAATAATCCATGTGCTGTAAAGCAGATGTACAGCACACACAAACCACCCGTGTGTAACGCAACAGCTTAGTCTGATGGATACTCAGACTCAAATCTGTCAATATGGGAACCCACACATAGAACAGGAGCATTAATATATCCTAAATACATCCTACAGCAACCCTCAATAAAAAGGTTTGTCTGCCCTGTTTCTTTCACGGCTACAAACGAAACCTTTAGACAAAAAGTAGCAAATACTGCCTAAAAACAGCCCCTACTAATAGGCATCCCTCTCACTCTGCAGTGAGTCTTGGCTCCAGCAGTTTTGCCTATGGCAGCACCTGTTCTCCGGGGGCTGCACTGAAGTGAACCTTCCCCATCTCAGGAAGCCARGCAGATCACTTCCAGTCACAAATGATCCAGTCCCCTTTGAAGATTAAGGACAAAGCCACACAAGGYATTATTACACTACTGCTGGTGCCCTGAAGCACTCCTTTCCCTTAAAAAAAAGTTCAAAATAATCTGWTTTACTACAGCTTTTTTCACAGAGTACCGGGTTCGGAAGGAGCCAGGTTAGGTTACACACCAGCCAGGCTTCTGCAATATCACCCAAAAAGCACCACCAGTGCTACCCAGATCAGACCGAGCCTCCACAGGCTGGAGCAGCTTTCTCACTGGGGTATTCAGGGCTGGCACTGATGCTTTCACGTTCTGGAAAGAATTCCAGAAGCCAGAGCAAGGACGCCAGCGCATCCGGGGGCTGGTTCCTCAGCACACCATTTTGAGCTCRCAAATAACACACAGGAGCAGCCAGCCAGACATCCTAGGGATTCCTGAACCCGAGGAACCGCGGCTGTGGGAAGCTCTGTGATGTGCTAAGCACAGGTTGCACCCACTGCGAGTCACCTCCTATTTCCTYGGAAAACACCAGGGGAAGCAGTGAGAATCTGTGTGTACCTTCCCACTGCTTTCTGGAGATTATTATAAAAAATGTAATATCCGAGAGGAAACTGCATTTAAATACTCAGTCGTAGGGGAATCCAAAAAAAACCCACCCACCGCAGGGAATTAGGGCAGGATTTGGAAGCCATGCCTCGCTCTCCCAGTGCATCCAGCAACAGTGCAGATGTTCTCCTGCTCCTCCGCTCTGGCATTGTCCTCAGGTCCACAGCACCACCGACACCCACCTGATTTAAAGCTCTGCACCAGCGACCAGCCCACTAACAGCGGGATTTATTGGAATTTTAATTACCTTAACCGGCCTAATGTCCACAGCAAATTTCTGTATATAAATTAGCATAATTCGCCAGATACATACATATGCAAACGAGAGGGAAAAATATGCAACAGACACGGGTATGACGTCCCAAAGATTATTTCTAAATTTAAACTGGCTGTTAGAATAATTGAATAAATCCCTTCTCGCAGATACACTCGAGTTGTAGCAGAAATTAAACTAGCCACAAAGATATGCAGTATTATTTTTGATGGGAAAAGAGGAGGAAAAACCCAATTGAGTTCAATAAATCCCATAATTGAACCTTCAACTAATTACATATTAAGAAGATTAACCTTTGACACAAACTTGTGATACAAACAAAGAMGCCTCAAACAATTAATAAACTTCCAGTGTTTCAAGATTTCTCAGGTTAACAACTGAGCCCTCCCCATTTTCCTCCCCTTCTGCGTCGCAGTTAAAGGAATAAACTGTTTAATATTCTCTCCCCCTGGACACTCTAGGTTTAGACGAAGATCTCTCTGTGAATACTCAGAAGAAAATTACTGCGGATCCCCACAATCTCATTACGTGTGGGGAAAAGAGGAAAAATRACCAACATCTAGATATTTCAACTTTTAAGAGAAAGCAGCCACGAAGGACAAAGCTGGAGCTCATGTGCTCGCCACAGAGCAGCACTGCTGGCCATGCCCACAATTTTCTAGCCCTGGGATCATTTCCAACCCGCTCTGCGATAATTTTCACACGTGTAAATTCTAAAGTAAGAGTACACGGTCATGCCTTGCAGCAGAAGCTGCCTTCATGTCATTTCTGAGTGGCACAACATGCTCACAAATGGCACTTTCTGCTCGCTGTTCGGGCCGAAACAGCGATTCCGGACGGAGAAAAATTACGGAATTAATATTAGCATTTAAAAAAAGACAATCCGGACGTTGTTCACATTTAAAAAAAAAAATAGTATAAAAATAAACGGACTTTGAAGCGTTTTGGGGTATTACTTGCTTCGCTGACTAGTAAGCAGTTTAAAAATAATAATAGTAATATGGTTTAGACTTGTGAAAAAGGAGGAATACATCGGCTTTGCAGGTCTCTTCCCCTGCTAACTTCTACCATGCCCGGATTAAGAGAGGCTCTTACCCCTTCTTACCTTTTAGTCTTTTCTTTATGGGGCTCTTTGGCAGCTTTCGATTCAGTCTTGCTGTAAGGAAACGAGTATTTTGACTACCGTGTAGGGGTCTTTCTGACGTGTTCCTTTCTTATTTTTAATGCTTTTTAAATTTTTTTTAAGTGTACCCGTAATTTCACGAATATGAATACGAAAAAAATCTCACACGGCCAAAAAAAATTAAGTTTGTTGTTGTTGTTGCTGTAGTTTGTTTACCCCCCTCAGGAAAAAAAAAAGTCTGCCACACAGGAGATGAAAAAAAACCCAACAGATCAACAGGAAAACACTATCCAAGTAGAGAAGCAAAGAGCTTCAGTGTTATCCAGCCCAGAGAAGTGCAGCAAAAGCAGGTCCAATTCCAAAACAGGCTTTTGATTTCCAGTGAAGCAAAAAAAAAAGAAAAAAACCAACAAAAAAAATTACCAAGACCAAGAAACCAAGACAAAATACACGTTCAAGTCCCCAGCTAAATTTCTGCACGAGTGTGTCTTAAATACAAGTTTGCTTTTATGTGTTGCAGCAAAACCCACGAAAAGCCAGGATTTGGAGTTGATCGGGAGGAGTTCTCGTGTGTGTGTCTTGATGGGTTCTCAGTCCACATGGAGGAGCATCTGAGGGTTTTTCAAAAAGTGCAAATCAAAAAGAGAAACTGGGATCCAGAAAAGAGTTTTAAGATGGATCCCCCCTTCAAAATAAAAGGAGGAGGGGAAAAAAAAAAATAAAACACCACCGCTGAGGCACGGGGGGGATGCGGAGTCTCACATGGGGCTGCGGGCAGGAGGAGGATCCCGCCGGGAGGTCCGGGGGGGGCGGAGGATCCAGCGGTGTCTCTGCGAGGGGAGGAGGGTCCGCGGCTCCGCAGGGACCCCGCGGGCGATCCGGGGCGGGAGGAGGATCCAGCAGCCGCTCCCGCAGGAAGGAGCGAGCGCGGGGAGGGGATCCGGGGAGGAGGATCCAGCAAAGTCTTTCACGGAGGGAGGAGGGAGCGGGGAAACCCGACGGTCTGTGTGCCTGGCTCGCAGCGGGATCCGCGGGCAGGCGGGGGCGGGGGGGGATCCCGCGGCTCTCTCCGTGTCCTCCGCAGGGATCCGGCAGGGACCCGGGTGGGCGGCGGGAGGAGCTGGGACCCGGGGGTCGGCGGGGAGCGGGGCAGCCGAGGCGGCGGCGTGTCCCCGGGGAACCGCAGCAGCGCCTCGGGCAGGGTCGGTCGGTCCGCCGGGGTGCTGAGGGGGAGGGGGGGGACGCAGCGCCTCTCGCCGTCTCTCCCGCTCGCTCTCGCCTCGTCCGCTCGCAGGGCAGGCGGTGCCGGGCTCAGTGCTGCCGGGCTGGTCCCCCGCTCCTCCGCGCCGCCGCCGCTGCCGCCGGTGCCGCCCTGGGGAGCAGAGGAACCGCTGCCGCCGCTGCCGCCGCCGCGGCCATTTTGTCGCTGACTGACAGAGCCCCGCCAGGCAGCGCGAGACCGCGGGGCGGCTCCGCGCGCGCCCCCTCCCGCGCTGGCCGCGAACAGGAAGTGCCGCGCTCCCTCCTCCCCCCCCAACCCGGCCCTCCGACCACGTGACGCGGGCGGGGCGGGGGGAGCCCCCGCCGATATGCAAATGAGCGCGGCGGCCGCAGCCAAACAGCGCCCAGGTC